AATATATTTATGCATGTGATTAGGGTTTGATAATGTTTTTGATTGATAATCATTTTCACATATTCCTACATGTGAGGCAGCATTTATCTGGATTGGACAAGGGAAATGAGGGGTTGCCTCGGTGGTGGGGTGGTACTTGTAGTTGGGGAGTGGTTGTTGGACTCGATGGAAATTGTTGAAGTGGCGAGTCAAAGATGAGAAAGACACAATTGGAGAAAAAAAAAAGAATACTTACTCGCGAGATTATTTTGCCTCTAATACTATTTAGAGAATTAACAAAGTGTATACGATTTGAGTTTGGAGAATTTTATTTTTATTTTTTATTTTTTACTATAATGTGGACTACTATAGATAGTTACAAAGAGATGAGGATAAACTTTCATAACATATTCTTTGCTATACAGAGATTGAATAACAATTTTAGTTGCGTTATAGTTTTACCTCATAAAAATGAGGAGGTTCGATTTCCTTGATGTTAGAAGATACTTGATACGTATCCCTATAATTGTGAAATTGATATGAAATTTAATGAAAAACAAAAAATGAATAAGATAATATTATACCGTAATCATCAATAAAACTTATAAAGTGGTAGCAATCTAACAATTGGCAGTATATTTCAATTTCTTTAAAATTTTCGATATTGGTCCTAATATTCTCTTTCTTTAATCCAACGACGACAACAATTACTGTTGATTAACTTGTCCTTAAATGAAAATTTACTTGTATATCCTAATCTTATTCATCAAAATTTCAATTATATTAAGTAAAGAAAGAGAACTTCAAAGCTCAAGTTACGAAAAGAATTTGTACGTTCATGCATTTAGAAGCTTAGAGAGAAAGAATTTGTCCCTATAAAACAGCCTTTGAACATTTTTAACTTGACATAATCCAAATCTTAATACTTAGGCCGTGGGCCTATAACTAAATCCTTGAATTCCAAACTTATCCGTTAGGCCCATTTTTGTAGCATGCTCAAACTTACTTTTCCGGACCTTTAGCCCAATAATGACCAAGGCTAACAGAAAAATAGACATGTGAATTCTGTCACTTTTCTATGAATTTCTAAAAAAAAAAAACCACACTATTTATTGTAGCAATTAACTAAATACATATGTGTGCTTTTTTTGGAAATTTGAACATATCAATTCAAGCCATGTTTTATGATAATACATAAGAAAAAGAAAATTTTAAATCAATTAAATCATTGATGCGTGCAAGGTGTTTGACAAAATGGGAATGTGAATTATATCACTTTTCTCAAAAAAAAAGTCACACTATGTCTTTGGAGTAATTAATTAGATGCATACGTATGCATTTTTGAAAATTTCAACATACTAATTCAAGCCATATTTTATGGTAATACATATGAAAAAGAAAACTTTGAATCGATTAAATCATTGATGTATGCAAAGTGTTTGACCCAAGAAGAATGTGAATTTTGTCACTTTGCTATGGAAAAAAGACATTTTGTCACTTTTCTCAAAAAAAAAAAAAGTCACAGTATCTTAAGGTGTTTTACCAATTTATGACGTAATTAATATTTTCTTAAAATATTTAATTAATTTAAGG